GTCACTCTTTTTGTATATTGGGACCACGTTAGCTGTCTTCCAACTTTCTGGTAAGTCTCCTGTTTCCAGTGACCTGTTATACACCATAGAGAGTGGCACACTTAGTGCTTCTGCACCTTCCTTTAGTATCCATGGTGAGATTCTATCAGGCCCAACAGCCTTTGTCACATCTAGTTCCAGCAGACACCTTTTGACCTCATCACTGGTGAGGTCAAATTCCTCCAAGGTTTCCAAGGTTGCCGCCTCCTCATTTAGTGCAGGGGCTTCTCCTTGTTCTATTGTGAAGACCTCCTGGAATCTCTTGTTGAGTTCTTCACACACCTCCTTGTCATTCTCTGTGTATCTGTTCTCCCCTTTCCGCAGCTTCATCACTTGTTCCTTCACTGCTGTTTTCCTCCTGATATGGCTGTGGAGCAGCTTTGGTTGGGTCTTGGCTTTACTCGCGATGTCATTTTCAAACTGTCTCTCTGCTTCCCTCCTCACTCTGATGTACTCATTTCTGGCCCTCTTGTACCTCTCCCTGCTCTCTGGTGTTCTGTTATTTCTGTAGTTTCTCCATGTTCTTTTACTCAGTTGTTTCGCTACCTTACATTCCTGGTTGAACCATGGGTTTTTCTGTTGTTTTTCGTTTTTCTCCTTTTGGACGGGGATAAACCTGTCTGCAGCTTCCTGGCACTTTTGGGTGACAATATCCATCATGACCTGCACATTCTTGTCTCTAAGTTCTGTTTCCCATGGTATTCCCATTAGGAAGTTCCTCATCTCGTCATATTTTCCTCTTCGGTAATTCAGTCTTTTCCCCTCCACTCCCATCCTTGGATAAGTTATCCCTACCTCCACCAAGTACTCAAAGGTCAGTACACTGTGGTCACTCATTCCTATGGGGGCTTCAACTTTGACTTCCCTTATTTCTGACTCATTTAGGGTGAATATTAAGTCGAGTCTAGCTGGTTCATCATTGCCTCTCATTCTTGTGGGTTCCTTGACATGCTGGCTCAGAAAATTCCTTGTTGCCACTTCCAAGAGTTTCACTCGCCACGTATCTGCACCACCATGTGGGTCCCCATTCTCCCAGTCTATCTTTCCATGGTTGAAATCACCCATGATTAAGAGTCTTGAGCCATTCCTGCAGGCAACTGAAGCTGCTCTCTCTATTATATTAATGGTTGCCATGTTGTTCCTATCAAACTCCTGTCTAGGTCTTCTGTCATTTAGGGGAGGGTTGTAAATGACTGTCACTATTATCTTAGGTCCACCCATTGTTATAGTTCCTGTTATGTAATCTCTGAATCCATCACAGCCCGGAATTTCCGGGCTGTATGTATGTATGTATGTATGTATGTATGTATGTATGTATGTATGTATGTATGTATGTATGTATGTATGTATGTAAGTATGTATGTATGTATGCATGCTGTACCTAGTAGCCAGAACGTTGTACTCGGCCTACTATACAAGGCCCAATTTGCCTAATAATCCATGTTTTCCTGAATTTATATATTTTTCAATTTTTTTTCTTATAAAATGATAGACCAATCTATTTCATTATGTATGAGTTCATTTTATTTAATATGAGTTAAAACTAACGTAGATATATGACCGAACCTAACCTACCCTACCTAACCTAACCTATCTTAACACTTTCGCGCTCTCGGCGAAGGTCACTCAGCCAACCGTATGTGCGCGCGGCGTTTTTATCGCTTAAGCGTAAAAACAAAAATGTGTATACTCTTTTTACTTTTCTGACCTTAGTTTTCATGCTACGTATTTCATTTTGGTACCAACGTGTTCGCAATAAAATTCTCTAGAAGAACATCAGTAAAAAAAGTCACAAAAGCTATAGAGATACCAGCATGAAATAAATAACTACGAAGATGAGTCGCCGTGAGCGCTCAACAGCAACAAAATGTTTTTACTCTTGGGATTATTATCACCTCTACAATTGTCCTACAGCCTTAATTTTGGTATCAATGAACTCCCAATAAAATTCCCAACACGATGATATGAATATAATTGTAGAATAAGTGTCCCGGCCCACCCGCAAGAGTGTGGGAAGTGGGCGCACTGTTACCCGGTAACGGTGACCGGACGACACACGCGCGAAACGTTGCTTTGAAAGTTTATACTTATTTCACTGTTCTGATATTATTATTGTATGTATGTCATTCATTTTTGTGGCAATCTTTTCGCAATAGAATGTTCTATGAGCTAAATTATACTACACAAACTTGGACCAAATAGGTGTACTTACCAAGGGAAGGCTGGTTGTGGAACAGTAAGTTGAGCATTTGTTCTTCTCTCCACCTTCTTCAGGTTCTTCATTCCTGAAGTTGCTCAACAGATGGTTTGTAGGTGGAGTGAAGCTGTTGCGGGTGGTTACTTCTTCACCACCCAATACACCTGTTTCCGGTGGTAATTGGTGTAGCAGGGAACAACACAGAGTGCAACACCACAGGTCTTGCATCCATAGTTCGTGTCCTTCCTTTTACCGGACCGTGCGCATGCATGACACTTGAGACGTTTGGGCAGTCTGTAAATTTCATGTTTCAGTTTGTAGTTCATGCGATTTTCTGAATCAACAATAGGGCGGCCAGGTCCTCTCGCTGGAGGTGTAACAGGAGTTGCAGGAGAGTCAGATTCATCTGACAAAACAGTTTCGTCAACTGGCAGTGTGGCAGACATGTCGGGTTCAGATTCGTTGTCTGCTTCACCTTGAGGTGGTGTAGTGAACAAAGGCCGCCTCACACCAGATGGTCCGGGAGTTGGCATGGCGTCAGCATTGGCAGGAGCTGTGTCATCATTTATGTCTGGAGCGTGCCGCAAGTGTTGAGATGATGATGATGTTTTAGGCCACTCCTCTGTGTCCCAGTGCAATAGGGCCCAGATTGCCACTTCGTGGAACTGTAGCAATGTTAGCTTTTTTCGATCAGTTGTGTTGTATTTGTACAAAACATAGGCATTATGCAATGCCATTTGCAGGAAATAAAAGGTAATCTTTTTGGTCCACTTGTGAGTTTTCCTGGTAAAATGGTAATATTTAACCATTTGATCGAAGTGGTCCACACCTTTCATGAACTTATTGTACTCGCAAATTGCAGTCGGTTTGTTCACTGTTACCTGTTGTATTCCACTTGTTCCGTCTCGGTTGCGAATTCGCTTCCTTCACTGAACTCGCTGAGTGTCTGCATTGTGGATGTTGGTAATGATTGAAACCACTCGCTTGTCTTTCCACAGGAGAATGAAGGTATTATCTTTGCGGCGGTATACTGTGGTATCCAGTGGAAGTTTACCCTTGGCTAGAGCTTGCAATACCTTTGGGGCGCCACGTAGCATTCTAATTGTGCCACATGTGTACACCCCAAGTTCTCTCAATGTTTCTTGAGTGCTTATAGAAGTGATTGGGCCTTGACCTTGATCCATTTTTGATGAAGTAATTGGGTATAATCCACACGGAAACGGGTAAAAATGCTCGAGTTTGGCGCGCGAGGGGAGCGTGATCGACTCACGACACGTGACACGAAAACAATGGGCCCGTCACGTGACCGGGTAGGCCGACGCGCCAGGCGGCCTAGTGGTGAGAAAGAGAATTTCATGGCGCGTTGTTTGAAACAAACCCCAATGAAATCGGATTAAAATTGAATTTTATACAAATATTTTAAAAGTAGACATAACTTTATGTCCACTATGCGTTTACGTTAGATGAAACCGAACGCGCCGGCGCGTCCAGATAGCGCGAAAGTGTTAACCTAGCCTAAACCAATATAATTAAGTCAATAATTTATGTTCCTAGTATAATATAATAATAATTCAAATAAAGCAATTGGAAGCAATTTATGGAAAATAAAGAAAATCACTCGGCCTATTAGGCAAGTTGGGCCTTGCATAGTAGGCCGAGAAGTGTGTTCTGGCTACTAGGTACGACATTTTATATATATATCTTTCCCAATAGTTGGGATTTAAAAGACTGAGGTGACTGAGGGAGCAGTGCAAACTATTAGACATCAGGCTAAGGCTGAGGATTTTTGACAGGTAGAGCCAGCAGCTGCCAGCGGGCTGCCAGGTACCTGGCAGTAGTAACAAGGGGTAGGTTTGCTCTAACTACTACGTGGATCATTTATGGATTGATTGATTGATCAAGATCAAGCCACCCAAGAGGTGGCATGGGCATCAACAGCACATAAGTGGAGCATTTATGTTGTCTTTTTGCTGCTTCATTTCTCTTTTTTTTTTTTACCTGTAAACCTTGCAGTTGTCTCTTTTGCTTCACCGACTGGATATTTCTGTCTCTCTATGAGGGAGTCCACGTTCTGGCTCTGATAGGTTATTAATTACTCCTTGGGCTGATGTTGCTCATCAGTGCAGCTAGCTACAGAGAGCCACTCTTTGGCCCTCTTCACAGGAGCAAGCAGCAAGAAAGTTGCCATTTGCTGTTGGTTATGACTGTTGGTTCATAACACACAGGTTATGAAATAACTTGTTACACTGTCTTGTTACAGCCAGATTCCATGAGAAATGCCACATGACAATTTGTTTAAGTTATGCTAACATGATTGTTGTTGTTTTAGATTCAGCTACTGGGACCAAAAAAAGTTCCAAGTAGCACGGGCTATGGTGAGCCCGTAGTGGACTTACGTGGCACAGGAGCGGGGCGGAAACTTGGCTCATTCATGTAGCTTACATGAATGAACATACATGTCATCCACAATGCCTGTTATTTTTACCACTAAACCAAAACATTCATGAATAAAACAATTATTTCTGAATTTACCAAATACCATGTTTGAAATCTTATATCTAATATTAAATCTTTGCCCGAAACATTAAATGTGTTTGCCCAAAACCCTGTGGGTATTAGTGGCTTTAGGCTTAGTATATACAAGCTCTATCTAGAAATTAAATATTCTGTTGTAACTCATTTTGTATGTATGTACTTTTACCTGAATAAAAATTATTATTATGATTATTATTATTATTATAAATAAAACATAGGCATCACTTACCCTAGAAGCATTTCTTGCTTCCATTTCTTTTCGTTTGACTTCGATCCGGTTCATGACGAGGCTTAACTCCTCTTTTAGCCGAACTTCTTGCCACTCAGCCTAATACAAGGAAGAAATGTCTCACATAACTTGGTCAACATGTTACTTAACATGTACATGAAATACATACACCCCACTATACAATAATCTAAGTTATGCACTACAAGTTAACTTCCTGGATTAAAGGACAATTTAACATCACCTAAAATACAGTTATTTTGCTGTACAATTATTCGTATCTGCTGTAACTACCTCCACTAGATAAATTATTTACTGTAACAGCTACCACAAGATAAATGATCTGCTGTAACCACTACCATAAGATGATCTGTAACCACCACCACAAGATAAATGATCTGCTGTAACCACTACCATAAGATGATCTGTAACCACCACCACAAGATAAATGATCAGCTGTAACACCATCACAAACACAATCACTGTAAAAAACTCTGGCATAACTAAATTTACTCACTAAAATAAAATATGTCAAAACACAATGCAAGTACGTAATTTGTTGTAATGAGTGCATACCATCCTCTTCTCATCTAAAACGATGGCATCAATTCCTTCCCGCACTGCAGTAAACTGCTGCCTCAGGCATTCTTGCTGGGCAGCATCTGCAGATATTGTCCTGAGACCCGAAGTTTCCAGCTGAGTGAGAAGTGGGTCGACAATACCATGGCCCAGTGTGTTCATGTGTTCCAGGGGCGTGGGAATGCACGTCATTACCCCCACCGTATAGCCTCCTGGGTACAGAACCTGCAGGAAAACAATGTCAATACTTTGCATTCAGGAAGGAACCAGGTGTTAGTATGAGAGTAAAATGACAGAACGTGTACTCACCTAATTGTACTTGCGTGGATTGAGATTTGGTTCTCTGGTCCTGCCTCTCAGTGTACAGATTCCTGAGCAAATTGCGCTCTATGATATCTACATTAGAAAAGGTGTATGAAGTCTGCCTCCAGGACATCACTCCCGAATGCATTCCCTTTGTAAAACGCATTCCACTAAAAAACCAGCGTTGAATGTAATGAAACGCCATTTTCTGGGTGAGCCCTAGAGGCTCCCTAGAGCTTATCGGGCTAATGTATGATATATTAGACCGGGATATTAGCTATGGAGTTCAGACCTACCAGGGACCAGGGACCAGCACCAGAACCTGGCCCCTTTAGAGAGGTTTCAGGGAGCAATGGTCCTGGAAAACCCCCTTATTGTTGGGGTTTTCCTTATCTGCCATTGACCGGGGTTAGGCACCCAGAAAGGTAGGCATAACAAAACAAACCCCACATGCTAAAAACTAAAACAGAAAACTGAACAGAGAGCTAGAAACTCCCTACAATCCCAAGGAAACATCACACTTTACTGCCCCGCCGATTGTCTGTGCAGCCCCCCCCCCAAGAGGGGGAGGGGGGAGCCCCGGACCTGCCCGCGCCGGCTGCCTAGCATCAGTTCGGAAGCTAAGCTTCAACCAGTGCGAAAAAACTGCCGACCGGTGGGAGGGAGGGTTCCCAGGGAGCCTTCGAGGCTCACCCAGAAAATGGTGTTTCATTACATTTAACGCTGGTTTTCTGTAGGGAGCCCCTACGGCTCCCTGGAGCTTCATACCCAAAGAGAAGCATAAGAAAAGAAAGGGCTGACCCGGGAGGCAGCTGCCACAAACTCCGCAACGCGAAGCAAAGACAACAGAATGCAATGTGCGACCCAAGGCAATACAAGAACGCACAGGAGCAGACACGCGCACAAAGAACGGGCGGCCAGGAACCTGTGCGACCCTCAAATCCTTATTCCCGAAATGAGCCCTAGACATCACCAACACAACAGCGAAAGCTGCAAATGTGCAAACAGCACAGGCGCGAGGATAGACCGCAGGCTGGAAGACTTAAAAACTCTGCGGACGACCTCGGAGAACCGAGCCCTGAAACATGGAACGAGGGGAACTGGATCAACCCAAAAGCGCATCCCCAGACACAGTACGCAGATAATGGCAAAGAGGCGCAACCGGACAACACAGGATGTACCCCTGGCCGAACCAATCAAGGATCAAGAACCGAAGGACCCCTCCGGAAAGCAGCCGTCTCGACCATCGGCAGAAGGACGAAAAAAGGCTGCAAACGTACAAACCTACCACCAGTACCAAAGAGCAGAAACCTCTGCACCAGAAGAGCCGGAAACTCCCCGACCCGACCCGCAGAGGCCCATGCCAACAAAATATGGCTTATGAAAACCAAACTTGAACTGAAGGGGCTACCACAAACTGAGGAGAAGACGAGAAGAGGGCACCCTGATCAAGGACCAGGAAGGCTCAGGCGACGCATGAGCAGGCTGGAGGTGAAATAAAACACGAGAAAGCGTACGGAACGGGGCAGATGTGACGTCCACCCCAAACGCAAGCCGGTGCGGCTCCGCCAGCGCAGCACAAAATGAGGCGACAGGAAGAAACGTCAAATAACTGTAGTCCTGAAAACCCAAGAAAGGACAAGACAACCAGATATGAAAGAGAAGACAACCTATGAAGAGCAAGAAAAAGGTGCAAAGAAACACCAGGAACGTCATACTGTTGCTGAGACGAAGCTCGCAGGTGGGACACCATCAACAAAGCCACCTGATCACCACAGAGATGGTGATACCCGCATCAAAATACTTGACGCGAAGAGCCAAGGAGAAGGCCGAACCAGTCACGTACAGGACTGGTCCGACCTGCTGAAAGAGGTAGAACCACAGGAAAACGCCCCGGGTTCGGACATCTATCAAGCAGCATCCGAAAATAAAGCTGGGCTGGCCACCAAGGGACCATGAGGACTACTCTCCTTGGGAATGGACTCCAACTGAGCCAGAAACCGAAGCAACAGCTGGACCGGGAGAAGAGGAACAGGCACCCCCACCTCAACCAGTCCTGCCAAAAGGCATCCACAGTGAACGCCTCGCAGGCAGGTAAGGGCGGCACATAGAATGGGCAACGCCTAGACCACGCCAAGGCGAAGATGTCCATGGCCAGTAGTCCATACATCCAGCAGAGCCAACGAAACGAGTCGGTGATGACTGGCCGATCCGCGAACAGAGGAATGAACCGAGACAGGCTGTCCGGCAGGCCGTAGGACACAACTTGGACATGAACCTCACGGTTAGCCAAACCCCGAGAATCCAGCAAACGAACCACTCAAAGGGACCAACCCCAAAGGTCAAACACCTAAGAGAAACCCCATGGTTCCGGCAAAGAACTGCCAGAGAACAGTCCGAATGGAGCTGGATGGTAGAGCACCGAGTGACCCGAACCCTCCGAAGTACTGTACAAACTAGACAGCTACGAACTCCCGAACCGTGCTGTAAGCCCGAAGGACGGACAGACCCCACCATCCTCGGCCGACCTGGTGAGCACTGGTCACAAAGCCCCAGCCGAGAGGTGACCCGTCTGTGAACACATCGAGCAAAGGCTCGGGGAGGCATGGTTTTATTCTCAACCAATAACAACAACAACAAAACAATTATCAGGTACATGAAATATTATTAACAAGATCATAAACAAAAGAGCATTTGCTCCAATGTGTCTTGCCTATTACCCTCTCTCTCACTACAGGATTAATAATACTTATAATGCCCTAATACAAGACTACTACTGGCCAGGTATGGTTCATGACATCAAGGCCTTTGTGAATACCTGCCACACGTGTCACATGGCAAGTAAGCCAAACGCTTTCCCATACCCAAGGCACCACTGATTCCAATTCCTGTGCTCTCGGAACCATTCAACAAGCTCATAATCGAGTGTCAGGCCTCTGCCCAAGACAAGATCAAGTAACATCCATATCAGTAATATCTCGTGTCCAACAACCAGGTTTCCTACAGCAGTTCCCATCAAGAACAGTACGGCTGCTAACATTGTGACGCACCTTGTGAAGCAGTGCCCGCAGTGCGGACATCCCCAGGAGAGTCACAGCAGTTGTGACATCATCCTCTCCAGCGACCTGTGTAAGAAAACCAACATCTTCCATGTAATGTCTAGCCCTTGTTATTCTGCTTCTCCTGACTACAATGGTTCTAAATTTTTTATCTCTACTTCCGACATCAGGAAAGATCCTCCTACCTACGAATCCAAATCCAAATAAACGTGCTCCTTCAACAACTTTACCAGCCCTCAGCCTAAATATCTTAAGACAAAATCACACTCCATTTCATCTGAGCGGCTAAAACGATTACGTAATTCTATGTACTAATTCTATTCTCCCCTTGCCAGATGCCAAGAAATCCTTCATCCTCAATCTCGACACCAGTAGCACCGGTGTCAGGGATGTCGTGATACCGCAGCGAGATAGGATCAGACCATCCAGCTACTACCGTCATAAGGGAGCCACTCATTATCCTACCCAGGTTACAACACACAACGAACCATCCAATCTACAAGGTTACCATCTCATCAACATCTCAGACCACAATCCCCTTCGGTTCATGCAGCAGGCCCAGTTCTCCAACCAACCCATACTTCGCTGGGTCCTTCAGCACATCATCATCATCGTCTCCGATCACCATCCTCTTCGGTTCCTGCAGCAGGCCCAGTTCTCTAACCAGTGACTGCTTCTCTGGGCCTTGCACTTGCAGAATTATAATCTCAACATCAACTTCATCAAAGGCTCGGACAATGTTGTCGCCGAAGCACTATCCAGAGTCCACGAGGTAGAACCTCTCACTTCAACTCTCCACTCCACAGCAGCATCTCAGGTGATAGGAACAGGCTTCAGGGAGGAGCTGTTATGGTAATCTCCTACTTAGCAGTAGGTCCTGCCTGTTCCTTTACCGCCTACTCACCAACGTACCAGCATGCTACAACATCAAGATTCAACATCAACGACAACAATACGTACCAAAACATATTGTCTAGACACAATGCCTCCCCTTCTCCACTACCCGAGACATCTGCATCTGCTGTCTCGCCAGTTGACCAGACGCCACCAGCAGACTACCTCTCTCGCTCGTTTAGCCACCAGCTTCTAGTCTCCAACTCCAGTATTCGCGCCAAATATGACGTCACGCCCCATATATAAGGGCTTGCCAGCTTCCAGAGCGTCAGATTACCTTTCGAGTACTCATAGCTGTAGCATCTACTCTCACCTCCGAGTGACTGTAGACGCACATAGCTATTTTGTATAAAATATTGCCTTCACCTATATTATTAACGTAAATTTCACATGTATATATTTATCTTTTGATTGTGTGTAAGCCAAGTCGATAAGGGATTTTGTTTTCATTAAGTGTTACTTATCGTTTTGTGTAAAATTAAAGTAATTTTTTGTTATATTAAATGTTTGAAGTTTTTATTCCCTTTGGTTTTTACCCGAAGCTCTCACACTGTCGAGGTATCAAGCAGATTTTTACTTTGTTTTCTCGTTTTTTTATTATTAATGTGATTGGTACAAGACCTGCTAGAATTGTTACTGCTCTATTACAGATTCTCGTCACAGTAGCAATATTTTAACGAGAACAGAGGTTTTGTTCTGGGGCTCTTACCTTTCAGGGTGCCTGACCCAGTCGATGGCAGACACAGAATGCTTCCAACCACACGGGGGTGTCTATAGGCCATTGCTCCTCGTGCCTCTCTGAGGGGGGCTAGGTTCTGGCTCGTGGTCCCTGGTAGGCCTAGAACTCCATGCGTATTGACTGATGCTAGGGTCTAATACATTCATATCAGCCCAGTTAGCTCTGGGGAGCAGAAGGGGCTCCCCCAGAAAAAGAGAAAACTACAAGAAAAAGGAATGGGGGGGGAAGGC